GCTGGTTCTGGGTGGATGGATCAACATATGCAGCCAGTTTCTTTGGATCTGCTGTGGGATAGACTGCTACAAGAGATCCTTCCTGCCCAAAACCATCAGCATCTATAACAACTCTAATGAAATCTGGATGAGCCACAACAACAATTCATTTACCTTTGGGATTAATAAATGATTTTTGAATTGAATTGAATTTTCAGAATATTTGAGGATGTTTGTTTTTCATGTCTCTAACTGCTGAAAGTCAAAGCAGAGCACACATTCATTTACCATTACTGTGGCTGTACAAGACAATAAGTAAATCAGGCTGTCGATAACATTAACCCACGCGTTCGGGTCATTTTTACTGCAGAAAACATTATTATAAGTTTTTCATGAACTATTTGCAATAAAACAACAGAGTTATCAACAGATATTTATTAATGATTACATATGATGACTCTGGTCTTCCCTGATAACATCATGATCCAAAACAAATAATTAAGCTCCACAACAACAGGAAAAGAGTAAACAAATATTTTTTTGTTTGTTTGTTTAGTTTTGTTTGTCCAATTTCAGGGCAGTAAATTGTCAATAATTTCTGCAGTAAATGTGAGATTAGCATAGATTGCATGATTTGACTGTTATGTATGTCTTAGTGATACTGCAGATACTTAGACTGTTGATACAATAACAAAGTACATTTTGATGAATTAATGTCAGTTACAATTTTAAGATTAATCTTATAGTTTTTTTTATATCTGTGCAGTTTTGTCTCCATCACTTTCAGCTCAAAGTCGTGCTCTTCATCAGTTTTATGAGCTGTGTGTGAATCCAGATGAGCAGTGAGTCACTCAGACGTGGGTGTCATGTAAAACTGATCTGAGTACAGCAGAACGTGGGAACTCTGTATTCTGGTGCACATAGATTGATTGTTTTCATTTGCTGCCTTAAAATGTTTTAAATCGTTATCAGTCTCTGTAAAGCTCTTCATTTATTTCTACAACCAGACCATAAAAAACTATGAGGATGGAACATGTGAGAAATGTAGGAAAGTAGAGTTTTAGTTATAAATCAGCAAATCTGTGCTGGTCAACATTCATACACCTTACACACACACACACACACACACACACACATACACACATACACACACATTATTATCCTGTGATGGACGTGCACCCTGTCCAGGATGTCCCCCACCCCCACTCTCTAACAGTGACCTGTAGGGAGGCACCTGCTCCCTGTGAGCCTGAAAGTAAAAGTAAAGATAAAACAAATGGATGGATTAATTCATGTCAGAGTCAGAACATCTGGGCTGCAGCTGTTCTCAAAAAACAAAGAGCACAAAGAACAGTAGATCTGAACCGTAAGAGAAAAGACACTGACGTCAAAGAACAAAAATATTGACAACAAAGAAACACTGAGCTGCTGACGACAGACCGCAAGATGATTCACCGCCTGCACTCAGACAGAAGAACACTGGAGTTATATTTGCTCCTGCATCCACGGTGATCATCCATCCATCATCCATCCATGCATCATCCATCATCAGTCCATTATCCATCCATCATCCATCCATGCATCATCCATCATCAGTCCATTATCCATCCATCATCCATCCATGCATCATCCATCATCAGTCCATTATCCATCCATCATCC